TAAAATGAACTTTCTTGGAGAGGCTAGTTGTATTGAATATTACTGTCATCAATGTTGCCAGTTTTGGGAGAGCTCTAGTGTTCGTCGCCCAAATATTAATTGAAAGTGAAATGAAATATGAAGATGCAGTAAAGTTCATAAGACAAAAGTGAAATGGAAATGTTTTGAAGCAAGCAGCTTTTCTCTTTGGAGCAGTATTGTCCTATAATACAGCTGCACTTCTAAGACACCAGCAGTCAGAGAAACAACTCTTACAGTAAATAAAACCAGGTTACCTGATGCTATTGCCTTGGAAATGGAACTTAAGACAGGACCCAGTTTATCAAACATGCTAGCCAGCATGTAGGCTTCGTGAATGATAAGTCTAATGAAGCTTCCCCAGGAGTACTGATGAGCACTCTTACCAGGCCTCAAGCTTGACAAAATTGAAACCTCTGTGTTTGGATTATGATCAGCTTGTTTGGACACTCAGCAAAGGATGCTTGTTTGGCAAGTGCAGTGACTCACGACTGTAATCCCAGCACTTTCAGAGGCTGAGGCAGGCAGATCACTTGAGATCAGGAGTTCGAGACCAGCCTGGCCAACATGGTAAAACCCTGCCTCTACTAAAAATACAAAAATTAGCCAGGCATAATGGCATATACCTGTAATCTCAGCTACTCTCAGGCTGAGGGATGAGAATTGCTTGAACCCAGGAGGCAGAGTTTGCAGTGAGCCAAGATCATGCCACTGCCCTCCAGTCTGGGCAACAGAGTGAAACTCTGTCTCAAAAAAAAAAAAGAAAGAAAGAAAGGAGAAGCTTGAGCTTGTTGTTCAGCCCTCAAAGGATGTTTATCATTAGTATGAGTTGACCTTTCCTGAAATCATGCAATATTGAGTTATGTCTTGAAGTCTATTCACATTCTTGAATCTTATCAACGTATAAGAAATATAGAGATATTGGGTGCCAAAATATCCAGCACAATACTTGTACGTTTTTAATGTCATGCAGGATGAAAAACCTAAGAACTGTGAACAACAGTCTAAGCCTTCTGTAATTTATTCCTTCAGTCATTTCAAACATTAATAATGGGGCCTATATGGCTGTTTGCCTGCTACTATGTGTTTATAAGTGTCACATTTAAAACAGTGTACATCAGATTTGTGTAGCCATTGATTTTGTTGGCTTTCATCCAAGTCTAATGATGATTTCTTAATGTCTTTTTATAAATCTCATTTTGTGCTCTTATGAAAACCTCCATTTTGAAAATCATAAACCTCTGGTTGAAAAGTTCATGTAAAGTCCACATTGCACAGAAGCACATATCTTTAATGTCTCCAGACCAAAAAAATCTTAAAGTTAATTTAGTGTCTGCATTTGGGGTGCAACTTAAAAGAGAGAGTCTGAAGGAAGAATGGGAGAGCTATTAAGTATTTTTAGCAAAATGTGTTTGTCTTGTTCAGGACATATGTTCTTTAGTAAACATTTTTTAAGGTAGACATACCTTATGATTGTAGGTGAAATAATTGTTAGTAATACAATTTTTTTTAATCTTACAGTTTTTTTCCATATCTATTGGAAGTTGTTTACCAGCTGTTTTTGTTTGAAGTGTGATTTTTGTCCATCTCTTCCCAACCCCTCTTGCAAAAAGAGAAGTTAACTTCTGGTAGTGAATTGAGCAGACATGTAATATTTTTTATGTCTTTTGAACTATATAACTTAATATTTGCATACTTAATAATCTGTTTTATTATACAATCAATAAAAGGGTGATATATATTGATATCAGTTCAACCATGTACTTGTGCTGTCTGGATTGTGTGTTTCCAGTTTTGTGAGAGAAATAATTTGTCAGTGTTCACCAGCTTTCAAAAACTTGTGAAAGCTTGAACACCTAAATTGATAATGAATGCAAAAAGGAAGAAGAAAAATTAAGAGAAGTTACTAATTACATGGAAATAGAATGCATAACTTCTAGAAGTTATACTTCTAAAATAGTTCTATCTAAAATAAACTAATCCAAAAGAAGACAGGAAAAGAGAAAAAAGGTAAAGGAAAACAAAATAGGATGCAAAATTAATTTGGTAGCAGTAATTCTAAACATATCACTAATCACAAAATGTAAATGGACTAAACTTTCCCCTTGAGAGACAGGGATTATTTAATTGGATAAAAATTAAACCCAGCTAAATATTTATGAAAGAGACACCCTGATATTACGTGTATGAAACATTAAAAATAAGCAGGTAACAAAAGATATGGCAGGCGAACACTAAACAAAAGAAGCTGAGGTTATTATATTGTGTCAATGTAAAAATAAAATGAACTTTAGCCTAGAAAGCTTTATTAAAGAGTGTCGTGACATAGGATTAAAAACTGAATTTACTAAGAAGAGTTAATAGTGCTAGACTGCTATTCATTTAATTACTCTACCTAATACTATAAAACAATAATTGATGGGATTACAAGGAAAGATTGAAAGAAATCTACCATCACAATGGGAGATTGAGAATCACCACCACCATTCTAACAATCTGATAAGGTACGCTTATGACTTCAGATAAAACTTTCAATTAAGATATCATACATGATTTCCGAAAGTATCATGTCTTAACAACTTAGGTATACCAAAAAAAAGGTGGTTCTAGTAGTGACAAAGGCTCTGATGTTGAAAATGCATGTGGAGACTTAGAATAAAACTAAAATTGTATATAACAATTAAATATTTCTATATTAACTGAAGTCACAAATAAAAATTTGATTATTGACAAAGTGTAGTCAATTTAGGGGGGAATGGGATTGTCTTATATTGATGAATTCCTTATATGTGGCATAAACATTATATTTAAATATAGTCAACAATTTACTGCAGAAACAGGATACAACTACAAATGTTTATAATTCTTCAAGATAGTGAAATCATTCTTCAGATGCGATTCATGGCTTTTTGGAACTGGAGGGACTGTAGATATAATGTGGTTCATTACTATTTTTCAATAGATGGGAAAACCAAGATCAAAAATAGTATGTGTTGCTTTGTATTTCCTGTATTTTACACTGTTGACTTATGAGTTAAGTACTTGTACATGAAGTATTGCAATCACCTTTCTCATCCTGTATTTACATGCAGTGTAACCACATACAGTTTGGGTGATTAATAATAATATTCCTTTTTTCTTTTAATAAAAGTTATTTGTTTGAATATAGGAAAATGGTAACAGTATTAAGCCTAAAACTCAGATCTAGTCCTAATCTCATTGTTCTATTTTATCGAAACTATATAAAATTGATAGGAACATACTGTTCACCGTAATTAACTATAAACTGTACGTCAATATAAGTACAACTTTCAACCATGAAGCCTATCTCAAAGTTGGCATTTGATTTTTTAAAAATATGAATGAGAAATTGTATAAGTGATAAAGTGTTAGGAAGAGGAAGGAATAATGTGGATGGCCCTGGCCCCCTTACGGGGGAAAAATAACTGTGAAGAATTTTGAGAATGCTTTCTTTCTCTGTGGACAGATTTCTCTCTTCCAATGAGAGACAGTTAAAACCAATCCATTGACCCATTTTTTCATGAACAGTCATTACAGCAGCCAAACATTGAACCCATTTGTGAATCCATCATATAAGAAGGTTAAAGAGAGTCCTTTAGTTTGGATCTTTGTGGTAATATTTTTCTTTGCTTTTCCTTTCGCTACCCAAATTCATTACTTCCTCTTCTCTTCCTCACTCCTGACTACCTCCGTCCCTAATAATTTGAAATAAATACTAAAGAACTGCTTGAGGAGGTGAAGGAGATTGTTGGTCATTGAGGAAACATGTTTTTTTGGCTAATTGTGTGTTTAGTAGCTTCAAGGATTTTTAAAGAAATACCGACTGGAAGGTGCAGCTCTCCCTCACCCACTTCTGGCTGCCTCTGAGAGTCACTGTACATATTGCACCAGGTTGCAGAAACTGGAGAATCCATTGGGAAATGCTTTTAAAATAACCTGTGAGAGAAAGAGAGCATGGCATATGCAAACCACTTTCAAATCAATGAGTTCTGGATGGATTAGAATCTCCTCTCAACCTGCTACCCAAGTAATCCACTGCCATCTCTGACTCCTGCTTGGCTCTTACCACTACAAAATAGCAACTGTTACCTTCTCAGACTATAATAAATGCTAGTGTTGACAGTGCCTACGAAAGTGCCTGACACATGTTCAACTATCCGCAAGTTGTAGCCATTATTAGAAATACTTTTATTATCATTATTATATTAATTATGCAGTTTTCATTTCTCTGAGTAGAGAAATAGAGGTTCTATGAAAATCAAGGCTGGGCTGGACTGAGAAGTGCTGCTGCCCATTTGAAAGCTTATACCACATGAAACACTTTATTGTTAGGCTTTTTTTTCCTGTAATCTTGAGACACATATTTTCTATCTACTGTTGTTTTAAAGGTCACCTTGAATCGATTCAGCACCATATCATCTAAACACATTCCCTTTGCTAACCTGTGTATTAATATTATGATAGTTGATATTTGACAGGGCACTGTTTCAATAACGTTATATTCAATGCCAGAGAATACAAATTCTTAGAGGAAAAGAAACTTTAGTAACTGGAGAGTTTAATAACAGTTTTATTTTAATTCTCCTGGGTATTCGTTATTAATTTTCTATAAATATATCCAGATGTACGTGTAGTACATAGAGCCTATGAACAAATTCTAGCAACTTTTTGATAAGTTGTCTTCTGAAATTTTCTACCTCTGGACCTAGTTTTATCTTTTCTGAAAGTATCAATTCTTTGCCTAAGTAGAAATATTTTAAATCAATTGCATTGTGGTATCTAGTGTAAAAATAAGTTTGAAGTAACAAATACTCTAAGAACCAACATGAATTTTGCTTCTGTTTATTTTTAGCAGGTAATTTGTTTTTCTAGCCAGGAATAAATTGAAATCCAGAAAAATTAGGTAAGCTTTAGTGGATTTTCTTGTTTGATCTGACTTTTCCTTTTGCTCATGTTTTTAGGCTCAGCTATGTGAACCATGCAGAGGATCTGGCCTCTAAGCTCCTACAGTGTTCCCCAAAGAACAGACTATCGGCACAGGCTGCCTTGAGCCACGAGTATTTTAGTGACCTGCCCCCACGGCTATGGGAACTCACCGATAGTGAGTATGACAAATCTACAACATCCATTCCAAGCAGAGTCATCATTTTATTTTAGCATCTGTATATAATATGTATACAAGATTCACATATTTGTGTGTGTACAAACATAAGATAATGTATGTTTGTATATTATTACAGGGGTGTGTGTGTGTGTGTGTGTGTGTGTGTGTGTGTGTAGAGAACAGAAGAAGGGGGGCCATGGGTATATGTATTTAGTGGAATCCTGCCATTCATTTGCTAGCTTACCAGACACAGGAAGAAAATGGATTCCTTTTTTGCTATCTCTTCTCTGCAGTCTGCAGCTGTGCATCTTTGTATTTGATTATGTGTGTGTCCAAAAAAATGATCTGAGCAGTCATAAAGGAAAAGGAAAATATGATTTACATATTTAGTGCTTTATGCATACACTACTGTTTAACTGGCTGCGGTACACAGAAGAGAAAATGATTCATTTCTGTTTGATTCTCAGAGACCATCTTGGTTGTAACAATAACCTTAAAAAGGGCTGCTATGCAGCGAGCTGAGGAACAGAGTTGGCAATTGGCTAATGCACTGAATTGACATGTACAGACCGAAGACATGTAATTCATTTTAACTGCTAATGCTCTTGGTATTCATAAACAGCTCTTCTCTGAATCTTTTAAAACAAAATACATTCCTGGGTGGGTTTTGTTTTGTTTTTATAAAAGTCTTCGTATTTATACAGCCTTTTAAAATTACATTTTAAATCTTTGGGGGAGGATTTATGGCTGGGAGGATCTCAGATTTATTCCAAAGTGTGAAACAGAATTCTTGTGAAATTTCACAAAAACTATTGGTGTCAGAGTATTTTTGTTCAATGGTGATATGTTCTTTCCAAAGAACAATTAGAAATATTTCTTCTATACTCTTTTCAGATTGCCTTAAAAATTAACATGCTGAATATATGCATTAATATTTATAATGTGTTTATTAATCCTTGGTATACATCACTTACGGTAGACATAATGATTATTTCTTCCTTCTCTTAGGTTTTAGACTTTTTTCACCCATCATAATATTGGATTCTCCTTGATGGCAATAACCCTTTATTTTAGAACTAAGTTCTAAGTACAATTCCTCTTGGATATTTCTATCCTAATTTTTTGATATCCCACATTTATTTCTCATTACTTTAACCCTAAAGAGACTATAGATATATTAATCTACTACTCCCCTTATGCTTAGCAAATCCTCATTAACACTTCACATATTCCCAGCCCATATTTACTCAATACTCTGCCGCACTTCCTTTCTAAAGTCTGCTGTTACAACACCTATCCTCAATTTTTGAAAAATTAAAAATGAAATCCCTATGGGAAAATAATGAATTGGTGACACATCTTTCTATACTGAAAAAAAAAATGACAGAAATAGGCCCACTAGTTTATGGCTCATCACACTCGAACATATGGTTTGTTTTTCCATTTAGTGTAACTTGTAACTTGATATCATTTCTCCTTGGTGACGTCTCAATCCCATCTGACTTGATGATTGAGTTTAAGCTAGGATTTTGATGGTCTATGAATTCTGAATTCTATGGTAGTACTTTTCTGTTAATATGGACTTATTACCCACTTGCCACTTAGTTTATCAGCCAGTGGTTAAATCCAGTTTCTATCAGTGAGTAAATGCCTACACATTATCACTCGGCAGCAGACTGCCAAGGGAGACAGCCTCGTCCCCATCATTAACAAGCACAATGTATGCAGAACACCAGAGGGGAATTAAAACCACAAAAAATACCTCAGGGTGGTATTTTTAATATGAGAATTTAATTTGTAATTTCACAGATTAAGAATTTTGGCTGCATTAATCCCTTTATCAGCTCACAGCAGGCTATTTGCAGAAGCATAACCATAAGGCGATATTCATTGGCAGAAACACGTCTTTGCATAACGTTAAACATCAGGAGCAGTGAAACCTTTTGAAGGGGGGAGAATAAAGATGAAAAATCATTATATTTTTAAAGCAAGATTCTACTAAATGCCTCCAGTAACAGTTATGAGTTACAGAAATGCTATTTCTGTGTCTAGAAGATAATCATTATGAAGCATAAATCCAGTTGCAAGAAAGGACAATCACAATATTAAATACTAGTCATTTCCATTTAGAACAACGTGGCTGTACTTGTAAACATGTTTACAAAACAAAGAATTCCCAGACTTTGGAGACTTTAGGAATTAGTTCCTTTAAGTGAAATGACTGGTTTGGGTGACTTATTGTCTAGGTTAATATTCTACAGACTATATTTAGAATTTTTTTTAATTTTTAGAATTAAATTTCATGTTAGCATAGAGTCTTGTACAAGTTTACCATCTGGCAAAGGCAGCAGTGGCAGCAGTGGCAGCAGCAGCACCTGTAATACCCTTACGTGCTTCTTTTTCAAGGAGATTTGGGAGGAGGTCCACCTGGAAAGAAGTGTTGCAGAACTAATAAATGGATTGTCTTAGCAACCAAGCTGTAGTTTAGGAAACTTGCTGTCTTAGTTTGCTCAGACTGCAGTAACAAAATACCATAGACTGGGTGGCTTAAACAGAAGACATTTATTTATGTTGGGGATGGGAGGTCCAAGATGAAAGTGCTAGCAGATTCGGTTCCTGGTAATGTCTTTCTTCTCAGCTTGCGAAGGAACACCTCGCTGTGTCTTCACAGGATGGAGGGAGCGGTCTCTCTTCCTCTTATTACAAAGCCATTAATCTCATCATGAGGGCCCCACCCTTATGACTTCATCTAACCCTAATCCCTCTTAAGGCCCCATCTCCAAATACTATCACATTAGGGGTTAGGGCTTCAACATATGAATTTGAGGAGGGACACAATTCAGTCCATAGCACTCTGATTCTTAAAGATGGCTCACAACACTTTCTAAAGAATTTCCACAAGAGGAAAACACCCATCCAAGTAGGAAGCGAAGTCAGGTTAAAAGGAGAAAATGGAAACAAAAATAAGTTTCAAGTAGATTTGAGCCTTCTTGGCTACTGTAATGTATCAGACCCTGTGAGAAGGGCATCAACTGTTGTTGGAGCCTGAGTAACACAGAACCCTGCAGTCATTTCATGGATTAGTATAAAAATGAAATTATGGGCTTATGTCAGACACTTGCTTTGGAAGAATACATAATAATGTAATATCTTTCTTTATTGTACTATTCCTTAAAACCTCTTCAGGTTACCTAGTACCAAAATTTAGAGGTAATGTATTAGTGTGCCACTGAAGCAGGAATTACAAAAGCACAACGCAAGAATAATGGTACAGTTATCTGGGGATCTGGCTGTTAAAGCTAGCTAATTCTGGTGGCACCCTGTCATTCTCCCTCTGTCCCAAAACCCCAACAGCTTTGCCCCACTTCTTCTCACAGATTTAATTGCTGGGAAGTAAATGGAGGGCTGATTTAGAAGAAATTCATTACTTTTCCCAAATATACCATAGGGCATTCTCCTGCGTATACTATCAAGTTACATAAATAATTGAAGCTGACTTACCCTTGTCAAAGTAAATGAACAAAATACACTTCATAGCACAGAGTCCTTGATTTTATTACACTCATTTGCTAATTCACAAAACTCAAATTCAGTGAAAGAAGGCCAATAAATCGGTACAGTTTGAAGAGCATTGAACTGGGAATCAGACCACCTGGATTGCAGCTTTAGCTCCACTGTTAACTAGCCAGGGCACTTTGGACAAGTGCCTTGGTCTCTCTGGGCTTCCCAATTCTCATTTAAGGAGCAAGTGAGATGCGCACACTAGTCTCCAGGGACCTTTCTAGCTCTAGAGTTTGTAGGTTTTCCCACATTCCTGTACATGTTCTATCGTCCTAAAATAGCATGATGCCCTTAATGTAGCTCTGTGCCATCTTTTTAAAACTAAAACAGGTGCACCCATTTCACATGTATTTGCTGCCTTCAGTTCCTAGACTTTCATGCTGTCTTGAATCATTTCCGACGAGGCTTTTGTGTTCACAACACCTGGTTTTAAAGTCTCTATCCATTGGTCTTTTCCCAGCCTATTGCGATTCAACACAATTGACCACCATCTCCTCCTACTAACACTTTCTTCACTTGGTTTCCAGGACACTGTTCTCTCGTTGCTTTCCTGTAGTTTAGAAAACTAAAGTGTCCTCTTCATACTCCTTTGCTGATTTCTCCTCCTTAGCCAGACCTTTTACATTAGGCTGTCATGGGGCTGAATCCTCAGATCTGTCTATCTACATGGACTCCCTAGAGCTTAGGTGATTTCATCCCATCTCATGATTTAATTATCATCTATTCACTGACAGTTTTCAAATTTCTGTCTCCAGTCCTGTCTTCCCTGATTCCACTTGCATATCCAACTGACTCTCAACATTTCCAGTTGGCCGTCTAGTAGGCATCTCACACTTAACCTATCCAAAACTGAACTTGTCCTTTCCCTCAAACTTGCTCCTTCTCTAGTCTTATCCTTGTCAATAAATAGCAGCATCATTCTTCCAGCTGACGGAAGTTATCCCTGAGTTATCTTTTTTTTTATTGCACTCCACATTCAGTTCTTCCACAGACCCTGTTGTTGCTACCTTCACAGTATATCCAGGATCACGCCACTCCTCACTTCACTGCAATCAGTCACTCACCTGCCACCAGTCACTCATCATCTTTCACCCATGTATTTACAGTCACCTCCTAACTGGTTTGCCTGCTTCTCTTCTTGCCTCCTTAAAGTCAGCTCTTGCTGTTTCCTCTTATGGTTTGTGCTTGCTCTCCCTCTAGACATATGCATGTCGTGCCCTGTTACCTCATTTGGGTCTCTCCATCAATGTCCCTTATCAAGAGAGACTTCACTGACCTCCTTCCACCCTAAAACTTCCAGTTTCTCTTCCCCGCTTTATTTTTCTTCATAACATTTACCACTATTTAATATATTATATCTGTTTGGTTGTTTATTGCCTGTCCCCCCAACTGGACTCTATAAGAACAGGGATATCCTTTCATTCTGATTTATTCACTGCAGGATTCTGAAATTTCCAGAACAGTATGGGGCTCAATAAATATTTGTCCAATGAATGAAAGAAAGGCACAAAGGAATGGGAAAAATATCTTGTTCCCCAATCTAATTTCATTGTTCTAGATCAGAGAAATGTGGGAGAAAGTCTAAGCTGTGGATTTGAGGGAAAGACAGACTGTCCTATCATATGTTTGCTTATGCCCATAAATGTGTTTGTTTGACCACCTGGCATTTCCAGATCAAAACCTACCATGATGTTCAATGTTCTTGGCATCCAAACTTGCATCTCAGTCTCCTGCTTTTTAAAAGATGATTATAAATCATGTATATAATATATAAATGAAAACTTCTTATTCTGTCCACAGTGTCTTCTATTTTTACTGTCCCAAATGTGAGATTGCAACCAGAAGCTGGAGAAAGCATGCGGGCCTTTGGGAAAAACAATAGTTACGGCAAAAGTCTATCAAACAGCAAGCACTGACGAGCAGCACATTCTCAAGAGTGCACAGGTAAGATGACTTGCTTTACATGGAAAGTAATATTTAATGGATATTGAACAGATTCTTTAAATGAAATGTTTCAGACTCATTTTTTCACCAACTATCCTATGAGTCTCTTGTGTGCATTATGGCGTTCATCAGACCTTCTATTGAGATAGAATGTAGTCAGTTATTTCTATATTTTCAGGCACCTACTAGATTCTAAATAAAATTATACTTAATCTTACACTTTTACTTATGTAATCATTGGCAAACCACTTTAGTTATAAGCAAATCATTTTAACTACTCACATTCCTCATGGAGAGTGGAAAAAGGTTCACTTTGGGCAGTTATCTAAGCCACAGACCTACTTTGTTTTGCCCACGCAATTTTTGTAATTAGTTGTTCTCATTTTAAAATGGGAAGATTATACTCCAAAGTCTAGATTTCTGGTTTTCCTTGAAAAATGAGCAACTCTAGCAATATTGCCTTCACATTCCTACCAGAAGTGTTTGTGTGTAACTGAATCATTGCTACCTCCTTTGGAGGGAATGTAGGCTTCCCAGTTTAGTTTAGCTCCCATCTGGGCCAGTTCACCTATGTCTGATTCCTGTCTGGCTCCTGGTACAGACCTTTTCATGACGAAGCTTTTCTCTTTTACTATCGATTCTTTGTCCTCTACTATTCTGCAGATAGGAAGAATAATCTAAACGTGGCAACCTCTAGTCATGTCAGCCTGGTACAGTCATCACATCACATGTGCTACATAGTGACCAGCCTGGGATGGCAACTTCTGAAAAGGCCATCTTTCTTGATTGCCAGATGGAAATGCCTAGTATATATTTTGGAAAATTTTTACTATATATGTAATTTATACATATATATATATATATATATATATATATCCTTAATGTAACACAATTCTCTGAAGCAAATAGAGAAAAAATGTTACTGTAGGAAAGGCTTTTTATTTGCTGATTTGTATAGAAAAGTGTTTGTTTGTTCCTTGCTCCAGCAGATATTCAGTAATTAAGTGTTCAGACCAGGCACGGTGGCATATACATGTAATCACAGCCCTTTGGGAGGCTGAGGCAGGCAGATGGTTTGAGCTTAGGAGTTTGAGAGCAGCCTGGGCAACATGGTGAAAGCCCGTCTCTATAAGAAATACAAAAATTAGCTGGGCATGGTGGTGCTATGTGCCTGCAGTCCCAGCTACTTGGGAGGCTGAGGTGGAACAATGGCTTGGGCCTGGGAGGCGGAGGTTGCAGTGAGCTGAGATTGCATCACTGCACTCCACCGTGAGTGACAGAGCCAGACCATTTCTCAACAAATAAATAAATAAAATAAGAAGTGTTCAAATAACTCAAAGAATATATGCAGCATTGCAGTAGCGCCTCTTCTTTCCTCCCTCTCTTAGTTTGAAATATGTTAACAGGCTAAATTGATAGCAGGGTAAAGAGAGCAAATGTTAAACTGCATACATTGTCTTGTCGGTATTCTGAGAGTATCTTGAGCTGCTTCTGAATTTAGCTTTTCAATACCCTCAACATAGGGGTCAATTTTGGCCTATCAGGTCATGGCGGCAATTTATGAATGATTTTGAGATAAAAGGTTTCCAGATAAAATATGATATATAAACGATAGTCAGAAGATGTTACTGTTAAACTTCCCACTCCATAGGTTAAGAGTCTTCATTCTTCATGTTATTTCTCCCTGTTGAATAAAAAGCACAACTCTTGGTTGCATTTGTACTCCTACTCTGAATTTCAATTGGTCAGACAAAGAATAGGGCTGAGTTTTTGACACGCTACCTCCTGGTATTGAGAATGGTTTTGATTTGTGAGGGTTACAGCACATGCTTTTTTAAAGTATTTAACCTGCATTATCATAATGAGGGTCCTGGCTTTATAAATCCCTTAGCCAATTCAGTGGAACAAAACAAAAAGTGGACTTTATTTGTGCTGCTGCCTCATACACACATGCACACAAGCAAGCCTGAATTTCAATTGTAAGGCTGTGTTCCTTCTTCTTGGCTCTTTTGAGATCTGCTGACCTGAGCTCAGCCAGTCAAAGCTGCTAGAACGTGTTTCAGCTCAGCTCCTCCTTGTGAAATCAAGCTCACAGAACAGAAGCATTGCTCAGAAAGTCTCAAAGATTGCTAATTAAAAAGGGATTTTTAAAAGGTGCTCAGAACTGCAATCATCAGTATTTAAAAGCCTTTACAAAAATGTAAAAATGTGTTTTCTTCATGTATATTTTTTAAACCAGATGTCAGGTTATATCTACACAGTGGAAGCTTTTTCTCTAGAATTATTTGATAGCAATACAAATATTTTTTCTATGAGTTTTGCCTTTTTCACATCAACTTGTGAAGATTTTCTTTTGTTTTGTTTTGTTTGTTTGTTTTTTGAGACGGAGTTTCGCTCTTTTGCCCACACTGGAGTAAAGTGGCGTAATCTCAGCTCACTGCAGCCTCTGCCCCCACTTGGGTTCAAGCAATTCTCCTGTCTCAGCCTCCTAAGTAGCTGAGATTATAGGCGCCCACCGCCATGCTTGGCTAATTTTTATATTTTTAGTATAGACAGGGTTTCTTGGCCAGGCCTGTCTCAAACTCCTGACCTCAGTCGATCCACCCACTTTGGCTTCCCATAGTGCTAAAATTACAGGAATGAGCCACCACACCTGGCCAATAAAGACTTAATATTATTGTTCGTGTAGTTTTCTTCCAAACCCAGATGCCTCAGTTGATTCAACATAATACTGAAGAAACGACTCAATTTTTTTTCTCTCACAAAAGCTTCAGGGAAGATGGATTCTAAGAGTTTTCTGTCAGTCAGCAGAAAAGGAAATTATTTTAAGGTCTTACCTTTGTGGAGTTTTTAAATAAATGGGGCCATCTTTGAGATCAAATAATATATCAGATTTATTGGCCTATTATATCTTGTGGAATGGCCTTACTCTGACCAATACTGAATATCAAATTATAGACATTATAGAGCAAAATGTCTACGTAGATAAGGTATCCTTAGAGAACAGTCTGTAATTTCTCAGACTTTGATTTTGCTGTTGCTGTTGAATTTACTGACTGTTCAGAGAAGGCTTTGGCATCTTAAATTTTCTCAAATGCCTCAATTCTTTATAATGTCCAGAGCGATTGGGAAGGAGAGGGAGGCCAAAGGGTTGGGGGCAAGGAGACTAAGACTATTGGCCGGCATTTTAACCACCTGTCTTTGGGGAGTTACAAGGAGGTAAATGTGGAAAATGCATTGTATTAGTTCTGTCTTTGAAATGATAGAGGGCTGAGTAGACAAGAATGTTTCAAGTCCTAATTTTTCTTCCAAACCTCAATGCCAAATTATTTCTTTCCTTGCATACTAAGGTCACCTCAGTTATTTAGTTAATAATGCTGGATTTGCATAAATTGATCTTAGTGGAAAATCTAATGAGATACTTCCGACTTTGCAGCAGAAAGCAATTTTGGTTTCAGAGTCTTACAGCCAAATTAAATAAGAAGAAAACCATAAACACCTAAGTTAAAAAATGGGGTGGATGCCACTGGATTATCAGAATATTGTGCCTCTTACATTTTGTTATCCTCTGAAGATATTAGCAGACTAAAGATTTCATAGATTGTTCTTGCTCATTTTATCAGCACTGATAGGTAAGACCCTTCAAAAGTCTGAGAGAGCCTTAAATATACATAGAAATTTTCCACAAGGAAAAGACTAGGAGCTGTATTGAATACCACATCCATTAGGATCACTTATACTTGGCATGCAGTGAAACCAAACACAACCCTCTGGTGAGCTTAATTTTCCTCTTACTCTAAACTGGCATAGAAAGTGCATGGTCACTCTGTCTACTTCTCCTTTAGCTGAATATAAGGGATAATAAAAGTCTCTATTCTTTTAGATATCTGTTTATAATTTTTCTGAAATATTTGTGCTCATTATGAAATAATTCTTTTCAATGAATCAGTTGCGTTTCAGACCCCATTCCTAATAGATTTACAAAAGTTGTCTAGTGCATGAAAGAATTTTGTTTGGTTCAATTGCAAGAAGTTAACTGCATGCATATTTTGGTGACCCCCTCCTTACCTTTGAGCCTATTATTTTTGCAAATCAACATTGTAAAGGAAGTACATGATAAGGAAAAGAATATATCAGACCCTCTACTTGGTCACCAAGCAGTAATTTCCTATAAGTAGGCTGTTAGGTAAACAGAGTAGAATGCTCAAGGAAATTTAATTAAATGAGATAAAGATTTTTTTAGAAACCAGATTTTAGAACACAGTGCACTTGTGCATAAGACTGTGGCAGCTCTGTCTGAACGCTAGTAGAACGGTGGTTCTTACTCTGCAGGCCACCTAGAGCTGCCTGCCATCTCAACCGCCATCTCAACTCTGGAAACTGCTCCTAGAAAACAGCCACCTATTGCTCTCCTCCATGCTGTGACATTATGGCGGCTCACTTTTTCTGTCTCTGCATCAACTAACACGCTTTCATGTTCCCTTCACTTCAGGGCTTCTGCTGACTTGTTTCTGCTTATTCATGGATCCTGCTTATTATCATTTCTCTTTGTCCGTCTACTTCTGGGGCAGTCTACTGCTGACCTCTTTTTGCCTCAGATTCAAACCCTCCCAGAGAGTGGCTCTGATTGATGTAGCCATCATCATGAAGTAGAAAGCAAAGCTGTTGTGTCAGTCACCCCCGTAGAAACTACTGGCTGACTGTAGGCTGCCTTGAGGTCAGGCTCTGAGCCCTGATCCAGTCAGCTGAGCCCAGAACTGGGTGGCCAACCTGTTTTTTAAAGAACCTTTTGGAAGAGGCTGCTGGGTTTAGCCCTTCAGAAGCTTGGAGAAACTCCCGGGAAGCAAGCAGTATAGCTGGAAAGTGCCTTGCCTGGCCTGTATACTACTGAGTGAAAAATTAGGCAAATACAGAGAGAAACTCCAATTCTGATAGTGTAATATCTTCATTGCATGATATTTTTGGCTATTGACTAAAGGTCCTTTTAAGATATGTTGCAT